TTTGGACAGTGATTGGATTTGGGGCTGAAAGGACAGATGGGAGACTAGGATTACACCTAGTACCCTGGCATGAGGGGAGAGACTGATGATTGTGTTATTGATCTTGATGGAGAAGTCAGGGGAGGGGCACGGGCTGGATGGAATAGTATGAGCTCAGTTTTTGAAAGATTTAGTTTGAGGAAGTGGAGTGACAACCATACTGATATGTCACTTAGTAGGTTAGTAATGCGAGAGGAAACTGAAGGGGTGAGGTGAGGAGTAAAAAGATAGTTTTGTGTATTATCAGCATAGAGATGGTACTTAAAGCCATGGGAGTTTATCAAGTGACCAAGGGAGGAGTTGTAGATGGAGAAAAGAAGGGGGTCCAAGGACAGAACCTTGAGGGACCCCCACAGAAAGAAGAAGTGGAGAGGAGGAGACCGAGCTATAGGTAACGCTAAAGGAGCACTGCGATAGGTAGGAGGAGAAGCAGGAGAGAACAGAGTCTCGGAGGCCAAGAGAGTGGAGTTTTTTGAGGAGGAGGGGATGGTCAACAGTATCAAAAGTCATAGAGCGGTCAAGTAGTAAGAGTATGGAGTAGTGCCCATTGGTTTTAGCAGTTAGTAAACCATTAGTGAGTTTTATTAGGGCAGTTTCAGTGGAGTGTAGTGAGCGAAAGCCACACTGTAAAAGGTCAAGAAGTTTGTTGTCAGTGAGGTAGGAGCTCAGGCGATTGTAGACTAAGTGTTCTAAGAGTTTAGAGGTAAAATGGGAGAAGGGAGATGGGTCTTAGATTGTTCAGGTTGGTGGTGTCCAGTGAGGGCTTTATAAGTATGGGAGTGATCTGTGCATGCTTTAGAGGGGCATCATTAGACAGGGAGAGATTGAAGATGTGAGTAAGGGAGCATAGGACAGAGGAAGAGGGTGACTGTAGTAGTTGTGAGAGGACAGGATCCAGGGGGCAACAAGGTGAGATCTCTTCAATAGTAGCAAGGTCAAAAGAGGAAAGTGTTGAGGGAGGTTTAGTATAAGGTACTGTATACTAAGTGGGATAGATGTATGAGTAGCGGAGATGCCTCTACAAATTACATCAATCTTGATTTTGAATGATTTGCAATCTTGTAAGCAGTGAGTTACTGGGTGGAGGTGGAGAAAGTAGAGAGTTAAAAGTAGAGAAGAGACAATGAGGACTGGATGACAAGGTATTAATAAGAGTGACAAAGTAGGCTTGTTTGGCAGCATGGAGGGAGGAATTGTATGTTAAGAAAGCAGATTTATATAGGGTAAAAATGCTTGCTGAGATTTGGTTTTATGCCACAATCGCTCCAGTGAATGACTATGTCTCTTAAGATTTCTGGTGTCAGTCTGCCACGGTTGTAATGGTCGGGGCCTGATGCTTCGTGTAGTTAGAGGAGCAAGTGAGTCTAGTGTGGATGAAAGTGAACTGTTGTAGACAGCAGTGACCAGGTCACGACAGGATAGGGGAGAGATTCTGTCAGAGGTGGTCAGTTGCAGAGTAGAAAAGAGAAGGGTTTAGGTTGTGAAGGTTTCTGCGGGTAATTGTTTGCTGCTTGGAGGGATAGGTGTTTTAAGACAAGGACACTGTAAAGGTGATGAGATTGTGATCAGAGAGAGGAAAGGGGATGTTTGTGAGGTTGTAGGGAGTGCAAATATGGGAGAAAACAAGGTCTAATGTATTCCCATCAGAGTGAGTGGAGGACTGTATCCATTGTGTTAAGGCAAAAGATGAGGTTAGGTTGAAGAGTTGGGATGTAGCCGGGTTGTTCACATTAATGGGGTTGTTAAAATCTCCAAGAATGATAGTGGGTATTTCAGAGGAGAGAAAGTAGGGTAGCCAGGCAGAGAAGTCATCAAGAAAGCGGGACACTGGTCCAGGAGGCCGGTAGATCACTGCAATCCTCAGAGAAATGGGAGAAAACAACTGAATGCAGTGAGTCTCGAAAGAAGAGAAGGATAGAGAGGGAGGGTTAGGGAGGACTTGATAGGTGCTCAGTGGGGATAGAAGCAAACCAACTCCACCTCCTTTCCGAGTACTGGGTCTGGGTGAGTGAGTGTGCATGAGGCCTTAAGCTTGAAAATTAAAAACAGAAGCTGATTGGCTGCTATGCACAGTAGTTATTCCAGATCTTGGCTGCTCCAGTTTTGATAAATTCCCCTCTCTGTTTTCAGCCATGTGACTGTAATTTTCAAATTTTATTGGGCTCAACTGAAAATAACTGTCACTTTTAAAAAAATTAAGGATACTTATTTTGCTGTGTTAGCTTTTTAAACTAAGCTTATTGTATCAACATTTAGTAAAAATTATATTGAAAACAATTTTTGATTTACTAAGGCTCAGTTCACACTAGCTTTTTCAGACAGGCGTTTGTGAAGCCTTTTTAATGCTTCTCAAATGCCTATGAAAATTCTGCACATGGCAGCACACAGTGATGTTCACACTGAAGCGTTACCTTGCATTGCATCGTGGCAAAACTGACACCTCATGTCCAGTTAGGAGGAGTTGAAGCCTCCCATTCAAGTCTATGGTACTGCTCCGCAAATGCCTGGCAGGTGTTTGCGGTGAGGTTGCGAGGCAGTTGCGAGGCGTTAATACCATTTAACTTCATTATAGGCGTTTGTGGTATGGTTTTAACGCTTGGCAAACGCCTATCAACCGCCTCAAAACCGCGCATGGGGCGTTTGGGGAGAGTTAAAAACGCTTCCCAAATGCCTGTCTAACGCCTGTCAAATGCTATAGAGGTGTTTGGCAAGAGTTAGAAATAAAGTCAAGTGTGAACGAGCCCTAAGAGTCTGAGGTAGCCCATAGATGAGTGAGCAATCTTTTTGTACAACCAGTGGGTTGAAAGAAGAAAACTGACTTAATTCCCCCATCCACATAATGGATGTGGATGGGGGAATCCTCCCTGCTGAGCTATTGAATTACAACAGCAGGGAGACTTCCCTGCTGACAGAATACACTGATCAGTGCCCATTGAGCAAGGAAATCTGACATGGCGTTTGAATAGAAGTCAGTCCGTAGACCTCCCTGCCCATGCATGGATCGAAAGTTCCTGCTGAACTGCCCAAAGTTTGATTCATATATGGCCGACTTTAGTCTGAAAACAGCCATAGACAGGTACTGTAGCTCTAACTGCTAATTTCTGAACTGACATAGCTTTTAGAGCTAAAGGTCCTAACACTGACACTGTCACCTTGCCCAGATAGAGGTAAAGTAACAGAGCCTGTACCAGCTTCCCCTTACCCAGTGCTCTCAAGTGGCTCCTTTCTCCTCTGAAATGACCTGTGCTGACAATCTGGGCTGGGGGGGGGGGGGGGGGGAGGTGATGAAATCACACCTGTAGCCTCCCTAGTGGTCTGATTATGTGAGTATTTCTGTTCTCAAAGCAGTACATTTTTTTGCATGGAAATTGGTGTTTTTTTATTGTAGGCCTGTCATTTTTAGGAATAACTCACTGAAATCTGTCCGAACAAGAGTCTAGTAAACATCCCGGGTATGATAAAATTTGAAACACGAAATCATAAATTATAATTGAATAAGTAATCATAAAAAATAATAATATAATAATAAATTTAATTCAGTAATGTAATCAAACCAAAAACACTGAAATTTGAAATATAGCGCCAAGTTCGCACATCACTGAGCAAAGTCGCAAAATCGTTTTCAGTGTCTGATGACGAATTTCCCCACAAATCATTATCACTCAATTCTGCAAGTGGTTCTGATTTACTATCGCTGTTCTCTAGCTGGTCTAAAACCGCTTTTGACCTAAAGGGACGCTTTTTGGACACCATGGACATTTCTCAGTTTCCAGGCAGAAAGAATGGTAAAAATGCAGACAGGGCACAGGACAAAGCACTAGGGACAAAATGTATGTGAAATGGTTTGATACAGTAATGTTATACTGTGTGATTTTAGTGTATTTAGTGAATGTCACTTTTTGACATTTTTAAATTTCCTGCTGTTCCGTCCCCCGTACGTCCTGACTTCGCAGGGAACGGAACCCGGAAGACAGATGCCGGCATCGGCTGGAGGAGATGGCCGGGGATGCTGCAGGGGGGACATCGCGTGAGCGCAGGACAAGGTAAGTGATTGAGGGTACCCGGAGCAGCGCTGCAAGGTATTCCCAAGTAAAGCTCGGGGTTACCGCTTGTGGTTCTGAAACTTTACCCCGAGCTACACTTGGAAATACCTCCAGGGAGCTTAATAAAGTGACAGTGCTTGGGCCTAATGAATGGCTGCTAGACCTAAGCACTCTCACACTGGAGGAAGTCACATGCTCTTCCTTACCTGGGAGTGCCAGGTATTGTTACCAGCAGCAGAGAAGGAAGGTATGGCGAGTGAGTGCTGGTAATCAAATGATGATTTACTATGACAATTATAATTATTCGGAGATATAAGAAAGAAAGCTGACTTAACAGGGCTGGGCTAGATATCAAGCAATTTTGGAATAGGCATTTTTCAACTTACCCTAGCTTGGTGTTGAGGGTAACAAATGTTTTGGTTCCCTTCATGACTACTTATCTTTATGATACAGGAATTTTTGCATTCTTGAAGCTGAAATCAGGAAGGAGACTAAGGCGCCATGCACACTAGCGTTTTTTTTTAAGCTCAACAAGCGCTGGGAATAACATTGATAATAGCGGTTTTTTAGTAATGTTTCAGTAGCATTCAGAAGCTTTTAGGAGCATTAGTATTTTATTAGTGTTTTTACAGTACATGTAGAGGAAGAAAAAAAGGAGCATTTCAGTAGCGCTTAGCAGTGTTTAGGAGCATTCAGCGTTTTTTTATGCTGAAGAAATTCTCCAAGAAACTCTATTATTTATTATTTTTCTGCTCCTAGATGCTGAAGCTCAAAAAATAACAGTAGTCTAAAGTAGTGTGCATATATACCTAGGATAATATTATTAAGCTTCTAGGAGCAGAAAAAAATATGCTGATAATAGCTTCTAGGAGCTTAACCTCCCTAGCGGTATTCCCGAGTGTAGGTAAAGGGGTAAAGTTTCAGTACCCAAATCGGTAACCCCGAGCTACACTTGGGCTTACCATGCAGCGTTGCATAGGGATCCCCTGCAGCGCTTACCTTGTCCTTCGCTCCCGCTATGCGTCCCCTGCAGCGTCCCCGGCCATCTCCTCCGGCCGATGCCGGCATCCGGCTTCCATGTTCCGGTCCCTGTGACGTCGGGACGTACAGGCGCCGGAACTGGCGGCAAATTTAAAAAAAAATGTCTTTTTTAAAAAATGATTATTACATAGTAAAACATTGCTGTTTCAAACCATTTCACATACATTTTGTCCCTACTGCTTTGTCCTGTGCCCTGCCTGCATTTTGACTGTTCTTTCTGCCTGGAAACGTCGATGGCATCCAAAAAGCGTCCCTTTATGTCAAAATCGTTTAGACAGGCTAGGGAACAGCGATAGTAAATCAGAACCACTTGCAGAATTGAGTGATAATGATTTGTGGGGAAATTCGTCATCAGACACTGAAAACGATTCTGCGACTTTGCTCAGCGATGTGCGAACTTGGCGCTATATTTCAAATTTCAGTGTTTTTGGTTTGATTATATTATTTAATTAAATTAATTTATTATTATATTATTATTTTTTATGATTATTTATTAAATTTATAATTTATGATTTTGTGTTTCAAGTTTTATCATATCTGGAATGTTTACTAGACTCTTGTTGGGACAGATTTCAGTGAGTTATTCCAAAATTACAGGCCTACAATAAAAAAAAATACATATTTCCATGCAAAAAAATGGTACCACTTTCAGCACCAAAAATCTGAAATAATCATACCGCCAGGGAGGTTAAAAAAATTATTGTGTCAAATTATTATTATTATTATACAGGATTTATATAGCGCCAACAGTTTGCTCAGCGCTTTACAATATAACGGGAGACAATACAGCAACAATACAGTTCAATACAAGAGGGATTTGAGGGCCCTGCTCCTTGGAGCTTACAATCTAGGAAATCAAATGACATGAGAGTAACATTGTCAGTAACTGTATCTGAATTCCTTGCTGTGATTATAGAAAAACAGCAAAACTCTTATTAGTTGTAACTAGCCTGTGATTTGCCATTTTGAAAAAAAAAACTTGATAGTTTTTTTTATGGAATACAAACAATGACATGGGACATACACATGTACCTTACATGCTTAGTACAACAGCAAATCTTTCTGTTGCTAAATGTGGTCAATGAACTAATACGTATGCATAGAGACTACCAATGCATTATCACCCTGATGGTAGAAGAACTCTACCAAGCTCTACCAGAGCTAGGAACCACTAGGATAGAGCAACAGAATATGATACAACCATGGATAATAGAGAGTTTGCCAGCTGGGGATCTTTCACAATGCAAAATTATATAGACTTTTTGGGGACATGCTCTGCTATTATATATAATTTTAGGTTTGGGTCAGTGATGATTAGAGAGTCTGGTAAAAAGTATATGGAGACATATTTGGCATCCCATTGGGGTCCTGTAATCTGTAAAGGTTAATATGTAAATAATCTGTAAATAATAGAGAACAATTGTGAGACATTTTTCAGTAGGTTTGGTCTCTTGTCAATGAAGCCTGACTCTCTAAGGTCCTCTCCTGAGGTTATCCCTGCCTATACAGGGCAACAATATTATATAACTATGTCGACATTGTTTGTACTGTGTGTCATAAAGGAGAATGCTTACAGCAAACTTTGGTGTAATTAATAAGACAGGGATTCAGCTGTCTAGTCTCAAAAGTTTGCATACCCTGGCAGAAATCATAAAATCTTGGCATTGATATTGAAAATATGACTGATCATGCCAAAAAACTGTCTTTTATTTAAGGATAGTGATCATATGAAGCAATTTATTATCACATAGTTGTCTGGCTCCTTTTTAAATCCATAATGATAACAGACATCACCCAAGTGGCCATGATCAAAAGACAACATACCCTGGAGTGTTTGACCTTGGTACAGACACACAAAATGGCAATTAAAGTGTTACTAAACCCGCAACAGTAAAATCAGTCTCTATATGCAGTGAAGCTTGCTTGTTATACTCACTGTGGAACCTAAGGGGGTAAACCTCTACACTGTGTAAAAAGGCTGTTTGATCCTGTCTTTTCTGACCCTCCCCTTCTTCTTCTGCCCCCAATCCATTTGCTGATAGTACAGAGCTCTAGAAGTCACTCTGCACATGCACAGTTTAGTGTGTATGACTAGAGAGTGTTTTTTTTTTCTTTGGGAGGGTGCATGTGATCAGCACAGGGCCAATCAGCACTGTCCAGACAGAAAGTCAGGGGTTATGCAACCTCATAGGACAGTGAGAGAAGAATGAAAACTCCTCCTACAAGCTTTAACTAGTGCTCAGCCAGACATTGATAGAAGTTCCAAGACTGCTATATACTGCTGATGAGAAAATGTATTTATCAGTTTATATTTACTAAAATAATTGCATTTCCATGTCCTGTGTACCGTGGGAGACCAGAGTTAATGAATGCAGGTTTCTGGGTTTAGTAACACTTTAAAGGTTAATTTCCCACATCTGTGGCTTTTTAAATTGCAATTAGTGTCTGTGAATAAATAGCTAATGAGTTTTTTATCTCTCACATGGATGCATTGAGAAGGCTAGATACTGAGCCATTGGAGCAGAAAAAAAAAGTCAAAAGACCTGCGTAACAAGGTAATGGAACTTTATAAAGATGTAAAAGGATATAAAAAGATATCCAAAGCCCTGAATATGTCAGTCAGTACTGTTCAATCATTTATTAAGAAGTGGAAAATTCAGGAATCTCTTGATAGCAAGCCAAGGTCAGCTAGACGAAGAAAGATAGCACCCACAACTACCATTAGAATTGTTTGGGATACAAACAAAAACCCACAGATAACCTCAGGAGAAATACAGGCTTCTCTGGAAAAAAATGGTGTGGTTGTTTCAAGAAGCACAAGAAGTACAATACGACAATACTTGAACAAAACTTGAGCTGCAATTTAAGTTATCAGAAAGAAACATTTACTGTGCCAATATCACAAAAAGCCAAGTTACAATATGCCCAAAAACACCTTGACATGCCACCAGACCTTTTTGTGGCATTGGCGCAGTGAAAGGCTTTTTTTCTGGCAACTCGACCATGCAGCTCAGTTTTGTTCAAGTATTACTGTATCTTTTTGGGCATGATCAGTCATATTTATAGGGCGCGAAGGTCTAGTATGTTATGTGATAAAAATGTTTTTTGGAATAAAAATAAGCCAAAATGGCCACAGTCCAAAAGTGTTGTATATATAAATGAGAGGAGGTCAGAATGTGGAGATACATTATTAAGACCTGCGCATCACTCAGATAACCAGGCTGATGCATTTTGAGGCAGAAGCCCCCTTCATCAGAGCATACTACTATCTTCACAATACTATCTCCCGACCTCTTCTCACATTGGCTTTAAAACAACAGTTTTAGCCTGTGGCCATTTTGTGAGTATGCTTTTGGCTTTGTTTTTATTCCAATAAACTTTTTTATTGGGTAAGGCGCTAGGCTTTTGCGTCTTCCTTTTTTTTAATGTATTCTGTTATTCAGTAGCAAGATTCTCCAAATCAGAAGAGGGCTGCAGTGGTGAAGCATTCCCAAGTAACAAAATGCTGAGGAACTTTCCATATTGATGTACTACTTGGCCTCAACATCCTTAGCGCTACGGTGTTGCTTTTTTGGTTTCATCTGTCGTCTGTATGGTATACATTGCAATACTTTGCATGTCACCTTGCAATCATAATCAGGCACACATGTAACATGGGGCCCACAAAGCCATAATAGAACTGCTGTTTGGCTTCATTTCTTTGTTAAGAATGTGGTATCTGTGCATGTTACATTTCACCTTATAGAAAGGTGTGAATTTAGAGATATTTGTCCTGTGAAATTGCATGTACTTACGCTATCTTGCCAAAAATATTGGGACACCCCTCTTAATCACTGAATTCCAATCACCTCCATGGCCACAGGTGTATAAAACCAAGCGCCTAGGCATGCAGACTGCTTCTACAAACATTTGTGAAAGAATGGGTCACTTTCAGGAGCTCAGTGAATTAAAGCTTGGTACCATGATAGTATGCCACCTGTGAAGTCCATCCGTGAAATTTCCTTGCTACTAATAGCTACTAAATAGCAAGGAAATTTCACGGATGGACTTCACAGGTGGCATCCAAGCCTTACATCGCGCAATGTAAAGGGCTGGATGCAGTGGTGTAAAGCATGCCACCACTGGACTCTAGAGCAGTGGAGACGTGTTCTCTGGAGTGACGTATCACGCTTCTGTCTGGCAATCTGATGGATGTGTCTGGGTTTGGCAGTTGCCAGGAGAACGGTACTTGCCTGACTGCATTGTGCCAAGTGTAAAGTTTGGTGGAGGGAGGATTATGGTGTGGGGTTGCTTTTCAGGGGTTGGGTTTGGCCCCTAAGTTCCAGTGAAGGGAACTCTTAAGGAGTCATCATACCAAGACATTTTGGACAATTTCATGCTCCCAACTTTGTGGGAACAGTTTGAAGATGGCCCCTTCCTGTTCCAACATGACTGTGCAACAGTGCACAAAGCAAGGTCCATAAAGACATGTTTGAGTGAGTTTGGGGTGGAGGAACTTGACTGGCCTGCACAGAGTCCTGACCTCAACCCGATAGAACACCTTTGGGATGAATTAGAGCAGAGACTGCGAGCCAGACCTTCTTGTCTGACATCAGTGCCTGACCTCACAAATGTGCTTCTGGAAGAATGGTCAAACATTGCTATAGACACACTGCTGGCATTCATGTAGACACAGCTGTTATAGCTGCAAAGGGTGGGCCAACTCAATATTGCACCCTACAGGCTAAGACTGGGATGCCATTTAAGTTCATGTGCGTGTAAAGGCAGGCGTCCCAATGCTTTTGGCAATATAGTGTATGTTTTTATGCCAATGGGGACAAAATCAAATGTGATTAGGCTATTTTCTTTCCAGATTGATTGTATGAATCAGGAAAATACCACAATATAACCACTAGATGGAGATAATGGTCATAGTAAATAGGTATTTCCTTTGAGCCATCTACTGGCCATAATGCAGGGTTTGCCTAAATTACTTTATGCTGACTGTACTCTGAGAAACATTCAACCTAGATAGAAAACAGCATAGGAACATTCAATTTTGCCCCCATTCACACAGAATGAATGCACATGCAACTTCACAAGAGGAATCATATACTCTGTAACCAAGGTATATTATTGGTAACAAACAATTGTTTTATTATTGGTTTTTGTATGCAAACTCTCCAGTAAGGTTTGAGTATATATTGTGTAATACATTTCACAATATTTTCGATAGCATAA